ATTCCATGACTTGCTTTGGCTCTTAAACATTAGAAAGCTATCGCAACATTAATATGGATAAAAAGAAAGCGAAATTATCTGCTAGGGGATTTACTTACTTTAGTTAACTACTTGTTCAGCAGAGATTACATTTAAAGTAGTGAATAGGGGTTCGTGTTGGAGTACAAACATCAGCAATATAATTTAGGCATATCCCACTGAAGAGTTTCAAGTAATACAAAAGTTGTGCCTTGTTTATATATCTCAATACTAACTAATATTATCAGAGAGGCAGCTTAGTCGAATACAGCTCGTAACATCAGTGATGGCAAACACCAGACGTTTGCTAATCATAATGATAATTATTACTATTACTACTTCCACTATATGTATGCTTCAAATAATCCGACAAAGCAATTTCCATTTTCATACAAAATACTTAATTTCCAGTATAGTGAAAATCTCGACCATCGAGATTTAAAGCATCTAATAAGCAGAAAAGATGGATTTTAACTAGAATTAGAATCCACAACTGGCGCTTCGTCCCACATGGAACTCGTCAGTTGATGTCAATGCCTACGCTACCACTGACTGCAGTTCAGACGAGGTGAAACATGAGTTTTACACAAAGCTTTCGGAGCTCTTCCAAAAGGTTAGGCGCTCTGATATAGTTATAATGGCTGGTGATTTTAATGCTCAAGTAGGTAGACTAAGTGAAAATGAAAGACACCAAGGTGGATGTTATGGTGTCGCGGTTCAGAGAACAGGCGATGGCGAACGTCTGTTGCAAGTATGCTCAGATAACCAACTATTTCTAGCAAACACTAAGTTTAGGCACAAGAAAAAACATCCGTTGACTTGGCGACCCCCAAAGTCATCACAACGCTGGACCCAACTAGATCACATTGCCATCAGCTACCGATGGCGAGGTTCAATAGAGGACTGTCTCTCGTTATGGGGCACTGGTGATTTACATCATGATTCCTCAGTTATATAGATTCATATGGGTCTACTTGTGTTCGTTGTGGAGATCCCTTCCAGTTAAATGAAAAAGTGGTGCAGGCAAAAGATAGCAGTTATCACGTGAAGTGTTTTGTGTATGCTGAACTTGCAAGTCTTATCATTTTTTTGCAGCTGTGTACAGTGTTTTCAACCGTTTCCGGAAGGTTTTTATTATGAAGTAATGACATGAGTTACTTCGTTTTCACCTTAGTTTGATGGGCGGAAATACTGTGAGCATGATTTCCACTTTTTGTTTGCTCCCTGTTGTGGAAAATGTGGTATGGTCTTTTTCGGATAATGTTATTTCCATTAGGATATTTTATAATTGGCAGGGTTATAAAGGCAATGAATTTCAATTGGCATCCTGATTGTTTTCGTTGCCAAATATATGATAAATATCTTTCAGATGAAGGCTTTGTCAATTTATACGGGAGGTAAAATTTTTTAGAAATCTGAGCTATCGTATACGCTGTCATTTTCAGAATTGGTTTTTTATTCTCCATAACTTTGTTTCTAGTGTCTAGTTACACAGATGTTATTTTTTTACTTCGGATCTTTGACGCGCTGCTAATGCTTAAAAGGTCTGTTTGTCAATAAGTGCCTCATAATGGGTCTTATTCTCTGGGACTACATGAACTATCTTGAAAATAGTGTAGGAAGTTATCAATCCGCAAGTTACCTTACCAGAGGGAAATTTGCATTAGCAGAAATACGAAACATACGTCGTGAGCTGCTCATGTTTAGATTCAGATCATGCCCAAGTGCGAGCGCGTATTTGTTTGAGGCTTACTGGACGTAGGAAAGACACCGCAAGGAAACCTCTTGAGTTTCTACTTAATAATAGCTTAGCTAAGAATTTATTTCAGGAGCGACTAGAAAGAGGGTTATGCAACCATGTAAGTGATTCTCATCCGCAGGCAGCTTTGAATGACATCGAAAAGGCTGTGGAAACAGTAGTGATATCTTCTAGTAAGGTAAAGCATAAGCCTAGGATGAGGCTGTGGATCTCAGTAGCATCCACCGAACTGATAGAGGCTAGAAAACTAATCCCACCTGGCTCTGAACGCGATGAAGAACGAAGTCATCTTAGGCGCAGGCTGTTTAAAAGCCTACGTAAAGACCGTGAACGGTGGTGGCTGGCGAAATGAAAAGCGATGGGAAATGCAGCGGCGATAGGCAACAGTAGACAGTTCTTCTGACTTTCAAGGAAACTGGTATTAGGAACCCAAACGTCAGCGAGACGTTTTCGGAAAACAATGGTCTTATTATCCATTCTCAATCCAGGAGGCTGGACCGATGTGCAGAACACTTTAGGGATCAGTTCAACTGGCCTTCAGCCACACTTCGGTTGCCCGTGATCTCCAGTCATCCTGAATGGCAGATAGATATAAGTCCTCCGAGTCTTCACAAAGTTGAGAAAGCGTTAGGAAATCTGAAGCGAGGGCGAGCTTCAGGTCCTGATAGACTGACCACTGAGATATTTAAGGATGGTGGTCCAGTTTTAACAGTTAGACTGATCGAGATCCTAGGAAGAATCTAGGAACTGGACGTAATCCTATCTGACTGGTCTCAATCACTGATTGTCCCAATCTATAAGAAAGGACAAAAGTCTTCTTGTGACAATCACAGGGGAATAAGTATAACTAATATAGTTTCTAAATTGTTAGCCTCGATTATACTAAGACGTCTAACTAGATCTCGTGAAGAGCAGACTCGAGAAAACCAGGATGGTTTCAGACCTGGACGTGGCTATATAGACCACATCTTCACACTACGACAGTTCCTGGAACACAGATACACATTTAGACGTCCGACAATAGTCGTGTTCCTGGACCTAAAGGCGGCATTCACCTAAGTAGATCGTGAGGTTCTATGGCAGTGTCTATCATTGAAAGGTGTACCAAAGAAGTACATTAACCTCGAACACCACTGGTCGAGTAAGAGCCTATGGTGAATTGTCACCAGAATTCTTTACTTCAAGTGATATCCGTCAGGGAGATTCACTTTCCCCATTCTTGTTTAATTTTGTCATATACATGCTCCTGGATTTAACATTATCCCCGTCTGAATTTTCAGCAGTAAACCTTCTATCAGTAGGATCGCTTACTGACCCAGAATATGCCGATGACATAGTCCTACTTGATGAAGGCGCTGACAAAATGCAGAGTCCTCGGACCACCCTAGGAGATAATGCAAGCATGTTCGGAATGCGGTTCTCAACCAAGAAATGCAAAATGTTGCTTCAAGACTGAGTTGCATCGGCACCTGAACTAGTGGTATGGAGTGAAGTAGTTGAGCGTGTAGACTGCTTCACCTCTCTCGGGAGTTTCATCAGTGCTGATGACCTGGTGGCTGACAAAATCTCAGCTCGGATACAGAAGGTTGGATTGGCTTTCTGTCCTACTATACGGATGCAAAACATGACTGTTGAGAGTAGAGGACTTTCGTAGGTTACTAGTCTTCGATCATGGGTGTATCTGAAGCATTGCTCATGTATCCTGGGACGACCGGGTAAGCAATGCTATCCTTAGGAAACGATTTCTAGGTGAGGATGTCAAATCAATAGATGAAGCATTGGATTTTCATCAGTTGTGGTGGTTGGGACATGTGTTATGTATAGCTAACCACCGACTGTTTTGTGATGTAGGAGTAGGTTGGAAGAATGTTAGGGGCGGCCAGATCAAAACATGGCGGAAATCCGTAAAGTCATTGACAAGTGGACTGAGTCATGTTGGTAGATGTAGGCTACCTGGTTGAGGTCCGCGAGACGAAAGTCACCAATGGTTAGCGGCCTTGAACGACATGGCTCCGAATCGTTAACAGTGACGCAGGTGCATCCACTCATTATGTTCTCCCTAATTCTAACCTTCTGAATTCCGCATAATCTCTATGTTTCTCCTTCTATATTTATTTCACTGAATTATACTTCACTAATTATATCTTTGAACCCTGATCTTCTCCCTTACTTCTACTATCGCTATCACTCTTGTATTTGAACAAACAGTTGCGTCTCTGTGCTGATGTGGTATGGCAATCTGAATCGATGTACTTACATACGAAGTTCTGCGTTGTATCTGTCTGTCTAAGACGTTCAAGAACTACAAACCTCTGTTCTCCACAATAGTGTTAAGCTGTGCCTGACGTATGTTGTGAGACTTGCTATTCGTTATTATCGCCATTTCCTCAGATCACTAACCTGATCTATTTCGTTTATTATCTCTGTTTTCTCTCCCTTGCTTACACTCCGGTTCTCTCACGAAATTAAAGAAACAGGAGAGAAAAGTGGCAGCCAGACAAACGCAACGTTTTGGTGACGACCTAAACTTCGATATTACTCGAAGACAAATTAAACCAATTAAACTAAAATGATTGAAATAATCCAAGAAACTAACAACTAGTTGTTCATTATTCACATGTTCTTATTTCATCAACATTTTCTGTTTCTTACGAGGTTGGGTTAATGTCAGATCAATTTCAGCTGCTTCATGTCACTCTTATGCTACAAACCCCTCTGCTCTCGACAACATTTGTGGATAGAAGCATAGACATGAACTCTTTCAAAATCTGTTTCACCACTTTAAGCAATCCGATTCCATAGTCATCACTTTTCATGTAGTTCCGTGAAATCTCCAACCCCCTTGTTCGTGTCAACCTCTAAATACGAATAAGATATTTGGACATTCGAATACTCTTGTTGTTTGACTAAACGCTGTAATGAGAACGCAAGTATATGTATATATATACGTATATATGTGACTTCCTAGATGTCGAAACAGATAACATCAAATAAAGCTCTTTATACACTCAGTCTCTTCCAATCATTATATTCAGTGATTGATTCGTACAACCTGAGGTTCACTCTCTTCTCTAACCTAATAAGTCCTTTTGAGCGGAAATCAGTATGGACATAGAATTAGTTTATTATCACATGAACACTTTGAGACGTCAGTTTGAACGAAGCATGAACAAATTTAACAACCTTATGTTTCCCCATTACAACCTACATCATAACACACGTTAAAGCTGGAAAACAGTTTTATTTATTAACAGAATTTTACAAAAATATAACATCAATCAGTAAAGTATTAATTTTTTTCCGTTTTGCGAAGAAATTGTTGTTTCAGTTCTGCAAAAAAAAAGAAAGCGAAATAAAGTTAATCATGGGCAAATAAAAGAGTCGTTTTCATCAAGTTTTTGTTATATGCACCAGTGAGAAGTAAGTAGGATGACGCGAGACTGATGTATAAGGAACATATAAAGTTACGAATAACACACGAAGATCATTGTAATATTCAGAATAATGTTACTCACATTTCTGTCCAAAATTTTCTGCACCTCATTGTGTAAACTTCGCATTTGCAATTTTAGGTTTTCCTATAAAATTTGAATTGGAAAAGGATTACCTATGTAGAAGTATCAAACGCATCAATTGTCAAGTAAATCTGTTATATTCAAATTATTCATTCCAAAAAAGTAGTTTAAAATTACCTTATAATCTGGTTTGCAACATTCTCCTTCGCAAGTAAGGTGTTAGAGAATCAATTTCTCATTGTGATATTTCAATGCGATTTCGTAACTAACGCTAAGAATATTCAATAGAAGCGTGAAATTGTGTCAAACTATCTGCATCATCAACAACAACCTAGGACTTTTCACTTAATAACATCGATTCAAGTTGCCATACCACACTGTCAATTAAAATTCCTTGGTGATAGAGGTAGTAACAATATTAGAAGTAATCGAAGAGATTAGGGTTCGAAGATGTTATTCAATAAGTATAATTCAGTGAGTTAAATTTAGATAGAGAAAGATAGAGGTGATGAGGAATTCAGGTTAGAATTTCATAGAACACAAATGCACCTGCGCTATTGCAAAAGGGTTTTGAGACATGACCCCCTGAGTCTAACCATCGATTATCATCATTTCGCGCACCCCAACCAGGTAGTCGACACCCACCGACATGACTCAGTCCACTTGTCAGTGACTTCATGGATTTCTGCCATGTTTTGGTCTTGCAGCCCCAAGCTTCCGTCCAAGTTATTCCTATGTAGCAAAACATAGCTCGATGAGACAGTCGGTTCGCAACATTGGTCCCAATCAACTCAACTGATGAAGTTTCATTACTCATCCATTGACCTCTCATTCCCACCTGACAACCATTTCCTAACAACAGCATTGCTTACTTGGCTGTCCAACGATACTCGAGCAATGCTTCGGAGACACGTATGATAGAAAACCAGTCACTTACGAATATCTTCTACTCTCACTGGGGCGAATTACTGCGCAGTACAGTCGTCCTTTAGTCAGCAAAGGGATATCTCACCTTCGCCATAAGTGACACAGGTTGGCAAAAGCCGATCGAGATTTCCGCATCGGTGCTGGGATTTCGTCGGTCACAAGGACATCGGCACCGACGAGAGTTCCGAGATAAGTGAAGCGATCTACATGCTCAAACGCTCCACATCCTATCACTAGTTCAGTTATCGATGAAACCCAATCGTATAGGAACATTTTGCATTTCGAGGGGGAAAACCGCATCCCGAACATGCTTACATTGTTGCTCAGGGTAGACAGAAGAATAATCCCAAGGGAAATCCCTGGTTAGAAATCACACATGAAAACTGTTTTAACTATAAAGTGGAACTTACATTCATAAGAATCAGTTTATCCAGCTTGAGATCAGCTGCTTTTAAATAACTTTTCATTGTATCGTCTTCTTCATATCGATGATTTCTATAGCAGGATTCGCTATCCGGAATAGGTTTCTGTTGGAGATCGAACTGGAAGAAAAACAAACACGATTACTAATGAACCAGTGTCAAACAAAAAGTACGTTCTATGGTAAAGTAGTACATTAAGCAGATACAGAATCAACAATTAGTGTACAGAATTCCTAGGACTATTGGGATCAACAGTGACACTACTTCTATAATTAAACACAAGTAAGGTGTAAGAGAATCAATTTATTGTTGTGATATTTCAATACGATTTCATAGCTAATTCCTGTTAATAACTGAGGAGAGTTTTTAATTTGCTTTCACGTATGCGTATACTCCCAATGTCTATTTATTTAAATTACATTTTCAATAAAAACACATTTCAAGAAGTCATCTTACCCTCTTTCCAATTATCCGGCGACCCGTTCCAGAAAAAAAGTTTATGTAAACTCTCATACTACTCGTATCACGATATCAACTTCTTCGGTGCGAATATATACCTGTCGACTCCGCTAAACAAATCTAATATCCAATATTTGTCTGTTCAATATCCAATGTACTTATTCAAGATATAGTATAAATCATCTGATTTTTATGCACTCGATTCTAGTTCTTTCTGCACGGTTCCAGGTGTTTGGTAGTGTCCATGAACTGGAAGTCTAGTTACTCGACAGTATAATTCTAGTCAGTTGGTAGTTGTCTGTGAATATGTCCCGTGATTTGAATGATTCCGTTTGTTTCACGGTAGTAGGGTTTCTGGATTACAGCTACGATCACTATGCCACACCGGAGAACACCTAGTTGCAATGTGCACATATGATAATTAGAAGTGTTAGAATCATTGAATGAACTAATTATCCAAGAAACAGCGTAAGTGGATCAAGAACTACTAGACGAGCACGAACGAATGTACTGTATTTAGAACTCGAAATCAAGCATTTCACAACAACGAGAAGTCACTAGTTCATTTAAACACCACATCCGCCACAGCTTAAATTGGAATCTAAGTGTCTGTAATCAATTGTACCTTTTCTCAAATTCATCCTGTCTGTCCAACAGTGTATTGGATAAAGAATCTGTATTATCTAGAATGCTCTCATTAGTATTAGAATTATCAACCGAAATTGGAACAGACTCACCTGGTTCCTGGAATTGTATTTGATCAACAAGTCGATTGTGTTTACTTAAGTCATTGATATCTAGAAGTCGCACTATGGATTTCCCGACATTCTTCAGAACAGTCCTCGTGGATGGTCGAAGATCATTGACGCGATAATATGTAACTTCTGCAGACTCCGAACATCTCATATTCGACCGAAGAATTCTTCCTTTTAATAGCTTTGATGGAGTCTCTTTCGTCACCGAATGTCTGGCATTGCTATATTGCAGTAGGAAGGTATCTACTCCAGCTCATTAAATGTTGAGGCGGCAATAGAATCAATAGCAGTTTTCAACGTCCTGACAAAATTTTCTGCCTGACCATTGGAACAAGGATTTCTGGGAGCTGTAAACAGATGTTTGCACCCTATACCATTAAACCAGGTAGTGACTTCATCTGCAGCAAAATGAGTGCCGTTATCAGTCACTAACACCATTGGAACCCCTTCTCGACTGAACACCTTTCTTAATGCTTGAATTGTGAAGTCAGAATTTGGCGAAGTTGTGAAAAAAAACTTCAGGCCACTTTGAAAAAGTATCATTAACTACAAGCGCATAGTATTTGCCAAGAAACGGACCAGAATAGTCTTCATGAATTCTCTGCCAGGCCTCCGACGATACTGGCCATGGAGTCCACTTCGAATGCTGATTTTTCAGCTTGTGACACTTTCCGCAATTGTTTGCTGTACGATAAATATCTGTATTTGTCTCTGGCCACCAACACGTGAGCCTCGCCAAGGACTTCATTTTCTCAACACCTAAATGTCCACTATGAAGATCTTCCAGGACAGCTTTACGCAATGAAGGAGGAATAACAACCCGATCACTTCAACACAAAATACCATCAGGAGTAGTGGATAGCTCATCCCGCTTTGAAAAATAGATAGGGAATCTACGTTTCAGATTAGCATTTCAACCTTTCCATATAGCATTAATTATACATCCAAAGTTTCTACGAGTTTCTCTAATGAAATCTGGACGTTTCACTGGTAAGGGTTGCACTAACAAACAGTCTGAAGTATTAACAGGTTTATCTTGTAATGATTGTCGAGAAATGTAGTCAACATGTTGAATTTGCTTGGCACTCTTGTGCTGAACCGTATAGTCGTAGGCACTCAAAGCAATACTCCATCGTTGAACCATAGCAGCAGAGGCACGTGCTAAATAGACTGTAAAGCCTCATGATCAGTAACAATAGTGAATTTCTTTCCAAATAAATATTTATGAAGTCTTTTAACAGCCCAAAACACAGCTAATGCCTCTCGCTGAGTCTGTGAATAGCCTTGTTCTGTAACAGTAAGTTTGCGTGAAACACAAATAACTGGTCTACCTTCCTGTTCCAAAACTGCGCCAATACCCGCAGGTGATGCATCAGTGATAAGCACAGACCGTACACTAGGGGAGTAAGTTCGAAGAACAGCATCACTTTGAAGAAACTTTAGTAGACTACGTAAAAATGACTCTTGTTCCTCACCCCATTTGAATTGAATGTCAAAATAATAAATAAACCATTTGCACGACAAGAAAAATTAGGAATAAAACGAGAATAGTATTGAAGAGCACCCACTAGTGAACGTAGTTCCGTAAGATTTTTTGGAGACGGTGCATTTTTCAGTGGAGCTAGTCGTTTCATATATGGTCTAAAACCATTACCATCAACTAGGTATCCAAGACATCCAAAACTAGATACACAAAATGAACACTCATTTGGATTTACTCTAATATTCTTCTCAACTAAACGACGCAATAAGGCAATAAGTCTCTGGTCATGAACTCCCTTATCAGCACCATGAACAATCAGATCATCTTGATAAACTTCAACACCTTCAAGTTCATTAACCACCGTATTCATAACTTCCTGAAATATGGCTGGAGAACAACTTAGACCAAATGGAAGGAAATTGTATTAAAACAGACCAAAAGGGGTATTAATTGTGGTCGAAATAGATGAGGACTGATCTAAAGGGATTCGAAGATAAGCATCTTTTAGGTCAACTTTCGAGAACACTTTAGAACCATGAAGTCGATTTAGAATATCTTCAGCCTCTACCGTCGTGCATGTTTGCTTCAACAAACGGGAGTTCAATGTTAGTCTATAGTCACCACATATTCTAGGCGTTTTGCCATCCGATTTCAGTGGCGTAACCATAGGAGTACCCCATGCTAAAGACTGATCCGGTTCAATTATGCCTTTTGCACACAAAGAATTCAATGTCTTATGCACTGCATCTCGAAGACCATAAGGAATTATTCGTCTTCTGAGAAAGACTGGGTCACCCTGTACTTGAAGTTTTATAGGCTGAATTTTCATACCTCCACTGCACTTAGCACACGTGGCTGTCAAATCTTTAAGTAAAGCATCAGAAATGCTTTTAGAAACTAGGAAAGACAACTCCACTTTTAAAATTCCCGAAGCCAAATAAAAACAAGTTAACCAAAGTGAAATAAAATAATCCTTGATCGAGTTTCTCTCAGATCAACTTCAGCTGCCCGATGCAATACCGAATTTCGAAGTGACTGCTGATGTTTTCAGAGGAATCTCACTTTTCAAATACAGGCAAGGCGTAAGCATCTGCTTTATTTCATGATCCAAAGTAAAACAACGAATCAGGGTTTGTGATGGTCGGATGGCGAAGAACACTCAAACCTAGCGACGGCTTATTTCGACACAAAGTATACCAATCAGTTAAACCAGGCATCCAGAAAAACTGAGCGCTGGTTGACGGCTAAGGGAATATACACAATATTCCAGAATAAGTATCGGTCTTTCAATCCAATTAAAAATAACACGCTGGGTATGAAATCAGCGTAGAACATTTCATCATTGAAATGCCACATCAGTAATCCTGTTATATTGAATCCCAATAAGCTGAAGGATAATCATTCATCTTAATGGGTGAATAATGCGATTCGAGTTATCAATCATTTTAGAGTATAACACCCGATACTTACGTGATACTTTAATAATTCACTGAATTATGTAGGTCTGTCTAAGTTTTAGCTTTTTTAATGACGAAAACCTACATTACCTAGAGAAGAGTTCGGAGGATATGGGTTATTCTTTTAACTGTTTTATAGTTCACGATCTCGAGAAGAACTGAAGAAAATTCAACCGGAAAGATTTTTTTCATTAGGTCATTTATTGAACGATATTTGTGGTTATTTACCAAATATAATATGCTGATAATAAAAAGAAGGATATTGGATTATAAAGTATTTAGAAGTTTTCAGTACCTCACGAAGATTGCGAGATCGTGTAAATGTTAAACGAGTATTATAATTCACATCAGAGAATTAAGAAAATTTCAATCGAAACGATGGTCCCGCGATTTGAAGATTTATCTTCGAAATGAATCTTCATTATTTTGATTTCTTTGATTTACAAGCCAGACATCAGATACCATACAAATGCATAGCAACACCACTTGAAATTCGACTGTAAGTGCAGTCAAGAATTTTATAGGTTCCTACATTTTTTTATGACATCAAATTAAAATGAATACTTTGTCGAATAAGTACGCTTTAAATATTTACAGTTTGTTGATTGCTGAATAGTAACCAATACCATGTATGTCAGGTCCTTCCTAGTCCTGATCGAATTATGTCAGTCAGGTTGCAATATGGCCACAGATCTAGGTGGCCATGTTTATGTTTGATCCCCCTGAAATAGAAAGAAAACAGAACGGGTTAGCAACGTCATACATGGTAATTTTGACTCTGTTACAATCGCTTATTTCAACTAGTGCGGAGAGCTGTACCAGCTGAACAGTTCAAAGATAAAATTTCGTTCAAAAACATTGTGCAGTGACTTTACTTTTACGAAGAATATATTTGTTCTTAGTGTTGAGTTATTTGTTATCTGTTGGTACTCTTAAAAAAATTCAAGAAATGAGAAACAAAAAGGTTGCGATCAACATCAGCCAAACAAGATCAGTCATGGTGGAAAAGTCTGAAAGAGAAGGAAACTTGAGACAATTGTACGATCCAACAAAGAATATCACCGGAAACTATCGTAAACCAGAACAACGAGTGAGAAGCAAAGAAGGCCAAGTAATCAGCAACACTGATTACAGCGAAATTGGTGGATAGAGCACTTTGAGGAACTTTAGAATCGAACAGCTCCACTGATCCCAACTTACATCAAAGCAGCATCCACGGACCTCTCGATCAACGTTCACCCACCAATAATTGAAGAGATCAGTATAGTCATTAGATAAACCAAGAGCGGCAAAACGGCGGGACTAGACAACATTCCAGCAGCAACTGCAAAAATATTCCACATTCTCTTTAACAAGATTTGGGATGAGCAACAAGTTCCAACAGAGTGGAAGGAAGGACACCTCATCAAGGTACTAAAGAAAGGCGATCTCAGCAAATTACTCTAGATGGAAATGTGTTGGATGACGGAAAGCCTCTACATATAATAATAATAATAAGTTATTCGCTAATAACATGTTATAAGAGGTATGTCAATTTACAGTCAAGATCAAAATGTTAAGATCGCTGACATATTTTTTGTAAAAGGCTGTTCAGTTCTTGAGATTTTTCATAAGATACATTGGCTGCATATAGATGGCTAAAATTTTCCAAATAAAATCATAGATAATTTTCCAGACTCTGCGATGTACAATGCGCATAATTGGAGCGAGTTACCATGGCTGCGTTACGAAGAACTGCCCATGACTACGAAATAATGCACGGTAAAGCCAGGTCTGCATTGAACAAGAATTGATGAGGTAAATGTGCTAAGATCTGGTTGATTTTCCTCAGATAATAAATTTACA